TCCGATTGCAGACAGCAATGCGCTGTCGTTATTGGGAGCGTAGACCCCTAAATTTGTCTGACATTCTATTTCATTGTTTTTTTATCATATATTTTTAATTTAATTTAATTAATTATTTTAGTTTTAATTCATAGTATTTTTCTTTCTAGAATTTTTGTTTACCTTTGTGGCAAATATTTTTCCTCTTGTTAACACACGAACATAAAAAAGCAAAAGTATTTGGTTTTAATAAGATTTTTTTCAGATAAAAATCTTTTCAATTAATATAAAATAAATTCTTACGAAGTTTTATATTTGATTTAGTGTAATTTGGATAAAAATAAAATTTTTTAATGATTTCATTAAAATGATAAGATTTCATTGATTGTGTAATTAATAAAAATATTTTTTCCATTTGACTCAAATGTTTAATATTTTTCTTAAAAACAGTTTTGTATTCACTATGAATAAGTGGTGATAGGTGGTGGTGGTTTAAGTCAACGGTCCGAGAACACATCACAGGGAAAAAAAAAAACCTACCATTCCTCTTTCATCTTGATCTCTCTCTCCCGGTCTCTCTCCTTTTTCTTCCTTGAATTTTTTATTCTTCTTTGTTTTCTCTTTTTGTTTTCTATTTTGCTATCACTCTCTCTATTTTACGTTTTTTTTCTCTGACTCTTAAATGTTCTTCTTAGACATGATATTGTCCGTTTTGTGCAGCTTTTTCACCCAAAAGGTCTCGTGGAGATAATTGTCTTCATCTACATTTGATGGATCATTCTCTTCTCTAATGGTCAATATAAGACTTTGTTTACATTACCCTTACAAACCCAACAAAGTGAACAAGTAAAAATCAAAGTTTCTTTTCAAGGCAGTAAGTTTTGACGTTTTCATCCAATAAAAATCTAAAATAGATTGGTTTAATTCGTCATATCTTGTTTTAGTCATGTTCTAATTATGAGTGTAATTTTATTTCATTCATACTTTAGGATACATTTTCTTTGTTTTATTTTATCTTGTTTTTGTTCTTGTTTTATTCCTTTATCCCTATTGCTAATTTATATATTATATTATTGTTATTTGAATTATTTGTAACATGAGATTTTATTGAATAGTTTCTAACATGTTTATCTAGATTAAGCGCATATGATTTTTATCAAGGTGTGTATAGGCACATTGTGCCAAAATTTATCGTGATATTATTTGATAAATATTTTAAATTTTATTAAAGATCTTCGATTCAAATTTTTCAAAAGGGAACTTTCAGATGATGGAACCTCAAAATATCCTATTTCAAGAGGCATTCCATTGATCTTGACCAAGAATTTATTTCTAATACATTTTCTAATGAGATTGTATATTTGTAGTCGTTATCTCGTTTATCTTCTTATTTGGCTTGAAAAAGTAATTGAAATAAATTGTTTGCATTTTTTGTCATAACAAAATTTATCTTTCGGAAATAAGAAGAAGATATATTTCCATTTGTAATTTTTCTTAATAATAGAAACTTTAAGGAAAAAGATATTTTTTATGATATTTCTAAAAATGAACAACCCAGATCTTTTTCTTTAATGTTTTCTAATAAAATTCCTAGATAGAAATGAGGGATTTAAGAGGTTGGTTGATAATGAATTTATTTAGGGAGGACCAATTAAATTAAAATAATTAAATTTTTTTCACTTTAAGCTACTAATAATTATCATAATTATTATTTATCTTTTGACATTGCCACCCATAATTGACATTTTTCTCTCCCTGTTTTTTTTAATCTTAAATGAGAACAAATTTTAACGGATCCGATGATGAACCATACACATGAAACTGTCATGTCATACTTCCGTTAAATCTAACATAATATTTAACGATAGGGACTAAACTATGACCAATTACAAAGTACAAATATTAAATAGTTACTTTTCAAAGTTAAAAGATTAAATCGTTACTTTTTAAAGTTCAAATATTAAATCAATACTTTTGAAAATTCAAAGACTAAATCGATCCAGTTAATGAAGGATCTTAAGACCCAACAACGTGATTTTTAACCACGTATATATTTTTTTATGGAGAATTTTTAACGAGATTAAAAATGATGGTTTAACTTTCATTTTAATTTAGAAACGGTAATTTTATATCGGATATGTTCATGAAATTTGAAAAATGTAAAATACGTTAAGGGTCTGTTTCAATACAAAATGAAAAATTTAGACCTATTAGACATATGGCGACATCATACATCTTAGGTTGATACATGAGTTAGTCTGAATAAATTGTCACATAGCATTGAGCTCAAAATTAGTGTCGGAAAATTAGATGCTCCAAAACAATTTCCCCTTCCACAGTTATATCTAATAAATCACAATCACACAACACAAATAAGAGATTGAAAGGAAAAGCAAAAAATGGCAGAAAAATTTATGCTGGTTCACCCCAACCGTTTATGGGCTACATCCAGTCTTCCGCTCAAATGCGAGTTTCAGTAATAAATCAAGATTGGATACAAAGTATCTCCCCAAATATTCACCATCACTAAACCCACGGTATACAAACTCGTTTCCACACACTGCCCACAACCACTCAAATCTTTTTTATTTGGATTCTGTACAAAATAAACCTTAGCAAAAGAATTCTATTTATAGGAGGCCAAATATCATAATCCTTGAAAAATAATATTATAATCCTTATAAGAAAACAATATTATAATCCTTATAAGAAAACAATATCCTATTCCTTGCAGGAATCCGTAGTAGTGTTGGAAATCATTTTCTTCCTAGAACACGAGTTTTCTGTTTTTGCTCCATTATCCCAACAATCTCCCACCTAGAGACAAAATATTGATATTGCCTCCCACTGCACCGACAATGTCCCATCATCTTGGCAACCCCGCCAAGGCTTAGTTCTGATTGCACCAACAGTAACTGATCAACAACTGCTCGACCCCAACCCTGTAATTGCTCCGAAATTGAGCAATCCTAAGTAATCTTGTCTCCTAGACACTAGAGACACAACCACATGCTCACACTCGATCTAAGTGGTCCCTGATGCTTCCTTCCTTGATCGAACCCAACGACCTTTGAAGGAAGATTTCCTCTTTCCCTTCCCTGATGCTTTATCCTGACATTCTACCGAACACCTCACTAAGCTGTTCCCCTTTCCCTTTCCTCTACTTCCCAACTATTGTATTTGAACTAATGGCAGATTCTCCTGAACAGTCCTGATTGTCAATGCTGCTAATTCTTTCAAGTCTTCTCTTGAAATATTTACAGTCCTATGCATAACCTGTCTATCTGATCCTCTGGAAACGCCAAACCTCAATACGTATACTAAAGCTTCTCTGTGGCCAACAACCACTACCTCGAATCCCCTTATGAGTTTCCACCTATTTTTTACAAACTCACTTAAATAGCCTTCGTCATCCAACTTCCCCGCTGATATCAAATTTATCTCGAAACTGGGTATGTACCTGACACCATGCAAAACTAACTCGGTCCCACTATCACTCCTCCGACGAACCTCCATAATTTCTCTAACCTTGGAGAGTCTCCCATTCCTTGTCCTCATCATGCCATGACTGCTTGTCATGGGAGACGTGTACCAACTCCTGTCTGAAGATACATGCACCGATGCTGCACTGTCCACTATCCACTCTAATGATGGATCCACAAATGTTGTGTCACTCTCAACGCATGCTAACATTTCACCTGACAAAACATTTGTATGTATTTCCTTGGCTTAATCATCTTTTAAGCTTCTTGCAGTGTTTCTTGAAGTGACCCTTCTTGTGGTAATAAAAACATTCAACCTCGCCGCTCCCACTCCTGTTGCCATGTCTCTACTGTTTCCCATAATTCATCTTCCCTTTGCCCTTGCTCTGAGCAACCAATGCTGACTCCATAGAGTTCTCCCATAGATAAGTGGATGTGAAATTCTTCGCGCTCCTTTTTCTACGAACCTCCTTCACATTTGGAGTGTCACAGATATCTAAAAATTTCAAACTCTTGTCCCCCAACGAATTCGATACCGCCATCTTCATCGTCTCCCAATTTTCAAGCAAAGAGGACAGCGGTTTTATAGCTTTCAGCTCATCTAAAAAAGTAATCCCTATCAATTCCAACTTGTTCATCATATTAGTAACCTCATTCATGTGGGAGTTCACTGAGGTACTATTGTACAATTTTATGTCCCTTGTGCAAGAATACACAATTGTCGTAGCAAGTAATAAAAAGTTTGAATCCACAGGGATTAACAGCTACGCACCTCAACAAATGCTTAAGAAAACTAACAAACTATAAAAAACATATAGAACAAATGAAACTGGTGGAATTTAACCACAGCAAGGTAAAAACAATTTACTTAAGCAGAAGCCAGAACTAATGCAAGATCCTGATCGATTATCACGAATACACAAATAAATGTCTAACTACTGAAGTAAAAGGGTAAGGGGGAAGAGTCTATGTGACTTCTTGTGGGCTTATGTAAAAATGCTATAGCTTTTATGATGATGGAAATACTGGCCAAACAAACACGGAGTCTTTCCAAACTCCCCAGATTTTCTGCTATTCAAGTTCTTAGACAAACTTGCCAGCATATCATTTCAGTTTATAACCTTGCTAGGTGAATCCTATTCTTAAGTACTCACTCTCTAACTCAAGTAGATCTAACACGAGTTAGAGATCTAACACGAATTGAAGCTAGATACATCTTATTACACTTTTCCAAGAATTAATAAGAAGATATTCCAACATATTGATCAAACATATTGAAACTAATAAAAACAATTTCAACTCAATATTCTTCGTCATTAATATTATACATCACAGATATCTAAAAATTAAAAGCCTCAAAGTTATGATTGAAACTAGTTACACGGGTGTGTACCTCACTTATTACAATACAACTCATTGACTCAATATATTTTAATGTCAGAAGGGTATTTTTGAAATAAGTTTAAAATTGAGGGTAGAATGGAAAATTTGAAAATAGGAGAGTATAATTGAAACCAACCCAAAGTCGGGAGAAAGTATAATTTAAGGAAGATATTTTGGAGAAAAAAATTGTACCCTTGTAAGGAAGATGCGGCGTGCGGAATTATAATAGAAACGGTTTAGACGAGAGAGAGAAATGGGTTACAGTTGGTTCCTGAAGAGCCCAAAGGAAGAAGAACAAGAAGTTCCAAACGGCGCCGTAAAAGGGGATTTCGAAGCCTTTCTGGAGGACAAGCTGCCGCCGCCGCCACCGGAGGCGGAGGATAACTTCTTGGCCTACGGCGGTCCTCCGGATTGGGGCTTGAATTTCGACTACGAGTACTTTCCAGTTCCAGTACTCTCTCAAACCAACATAGTCGGAGCCAACGAGGAGGCGGCGGCGGCGGCGGCGTTCGGTAGAGTCTCCGACGACGGCGATGGCAGGAAGAAGGAGGAGGAGGAGATTTCGCTGAAGTTAAATCTAAACTATGAAGAGGTTTTGGAGGCATGGTCCGGCCGTGGGTCTCTGTGGGCCGCCGCCGACGACTCTTCTCTTTCAAACTTAACCAATGCCGCTTATGTAAGTTCCGCTTACAAACTAACTCATCTCTCAAAAAAAAAAAAATCTTATTTTTGTTTGATATATAATGTTTTTCTTTAAAATAAAAAAAAGTATAAAKATCTGATAAATGTTTAATGGTGTTTATAGTTGATTTGCTAGTTTTTTAAATAGTAAAATACACATTTGATTCTTGAGTTAGGTTTTTATTTGGTATAAGTTTCAAAAAGTGACAGTTTGATCTAAACTTTAAAAAATTGTTCAAAATTGTTTTTTAAATTATTTGACCGTTAGTTAACTAATTAAAAAATGAGGTGACATAATTGAGTTGAAAAATTTTAAATGAGGTTGTGATATTAAATACTTTATATGATTTAAAATTTTCAAACTCAATTATGTAACTATTTTTTTCGTTAGTCAATAAGCTCAAGTACCCTTTAGAACCATTTTTTAAAGATCGGGGGTTAAACTGTCACTTTTTGAAATTTAAGGGCCAAATAAAAATTTACCCTCAAACTTAGGACTAAAAATTCCCCCTTTTATTTTTTTGTCTAAATTAGGTTTGTTTCTAATCACCGTTTTCCAATTAATTTCTTATAAAAACATTAACCTTTTAGCTAAATTTCAAAAATAAAAAGTAATTTTTAAAAACTAGTTTTTCGTGGGTTCTAAGAATTGAGTTATATTAAGAAATACTAGAGGACAAAACAAATTAACACATGTATTAAAATAGTGTATATAAGCTTAATTTTCAAAAAAAAAAAAAATTGTTATCAAGTGTACATTTTTGTTTTGTTTTGTTCTCTGAATTATGGAATTAATTTTATTTTGGTTTTTAAATTTTCAAAATATCTTTAAAAATAAAAAATAAAAATATATATAAAATTATCATTTGTGTGTTCAAAATTTGGTATGAAGTAGATGGGAGAGGTTCCAAGAATAGAAGAAGAACGAAGAAGAAGAGTATTGAGATACAAAGAGAAGCGCCACAACAGATTGTTCTCAAACAAGATAAGATACCAGGTTCGTAAGCTCAATGCAGAAAAAAGGGCAAGAATAAAGGTCAACAATATCACCAACTTCTTTATTCTTTTTCTTCTTTTGGGTCTAGTTTCCATTTTCGACTCACCGTTTTTCTTCACAGGGGCGTTTCGTGAAGACGGTTTCGTGAAAAAAGATCAAAATATCTCGACAACGTGAGCATAACATAACTAGTCAAGACATTTATCTTTTATTAAAAATGTTATACGTTCGAATTCCCACATCCACATTGTTGTTGAACTAAACGAAATATCTCAATAAAAGTATCTTAAACTTTTTATTCCTTGTTTTGTGAATATACTTTCTTTATCAATATTCAATGATGTCATCTCAAAACCACCCATTTACAAGGAGAGTCCTGACAGTTTTTAATTGCCATAAAATTTTAAAAATTGGAAAGTAGTGTTTATGAAAAAAACTGTGCCCACAATTTGTGATTATTTGTTTTTCTCAATCTTTTTTTTATGGTTTATAATGGTCATCCAAGCTCAAATTTATAGTAGTAGTGCTGATCAAAAGATCATGGATTCAATCTATACCTCGTATATTTGAACTAGAAATATTTTAAGAAAAGTATCTCAAATTTAATTTTTTCTTTCGCTGAAAATGTTTTAACAAAAAATTAACTTGGGCATAACTTAATATATATCATCGACTAAAATGTTATAAGTTGGAAAATCTACCCGTTACCAACTAAAAAAAATATCTCAACAAAAGTATCTCGAACTTTTTCTTTTTCATTTTTTGTGAATATACTTTCTTCATTCTACTAGTGAAAATATCTCAAGTTTTCAAACTTTTTCTTTTCTCTGTAATACTGAGAACTTTTTTCTGCGGCTTTCATTGTCGTGGACCTAAACTCCAATTTGGCCATTAAAAGATACGCTCTGAATTGACCAATTATTATAGCTATTGGATTTGCCCATCACGTTTTGGGGGTGTTTGGAACAGATTTACATGCTCTTTGATCGGAATGCCATTTTTTTTTTGTTTGAGTTTGTATAATTTAAATAGGGAAACTTAAATATGTATAATTTATATTTGAATTTGATTCATGACAAAATTAGCTTTTAAGATTTTAAGTCAATATATTTTTGTTGGGTTGACATTAATTATTCTTCTAAAGGAAGGTAAGAAGGAAAACTGAATTTCGTCGTCAAAAAACTATCGCGACGGAGTAACGGTGATAACCTTTTTGGCGACGAAATTCTACCCTTTAACGACGAATTTCGTCGTTGTCAAAATCTAAAATTCTTGCGGCRAGAACTCCAAATTTCCTTTCTTTTTTTTTTTTGGATAAATTATTTTTAAGAACATGTAGTTAAAAAAAACAAATAGAAGGGAAATTGTAGAAAATAAGACAAATTTTAGGTTTAGACTTTCATATCCATCTTTTCATTCATAGACTACTAGGATTTTTGTAAGCGTGAAATGCCTTTGTTGTCCTTTAAAAAAAAAACCCTAATTTTCAAGACCACCCACACATGTTTAAAGCATGCTTTGGACCCTAAAAGTTAAAAGAGATTTTTTCTAAAATGGCAGGAACGAAATTTCACACTTAAAAAGTCCTAATAATTAAAGTAGTCTACAAATAAAAAGACTTTTTAAAACCTTACAAGTTACACGTGGTCTTTATTTTAGACAATTTCTCCTAATAGAAATACGTAGTGAACCATATGGATCTCTTAAAAGTATGGTTCTAAATATCCGTCGACACATCTATATTTCCATCGACATATTCATATTTTTATAGGTTCGATATTGACATAAGGGATGAATTGACATTTGTATCACAATACAAGAAAATCGACAAAATAGGAAAAAAAATCAACAAAATGTCACTAATATATACATGATATTTAATATTAATTATTTTTAACTAATTTATAAATAGAAAAACGTTTATTTGTTAATTTAAAATATTTTTTTTCGATTTTTTTGATATTTCTAACTTTTACAAAAATATTCATCGATATCGACATTTTATTGATATTTACATCGATATTTCCATAAAATTGAGATCTCAATATTTCCATCGACGTCGACATTTAAAATCTTACTTAAAAGTGGATTTGTAAAACACTCTCTAAGAAATCTTTACCAATAAATCGCACTCTAAAAGGAGAAATCTTTACCAATAAATCGCACTCTAAAAGCACCTTTTATCTTTGAAAGAATTAAAGGTTTTGGTTCTTTTTATTTTATTTTAGAAAGTAAGTTTCTTGGAAAAAAAAGTTGAAAACAAAACAAAACAGAGAAGAGTAAATATTCCTACCATGAAGTAAGAATTGTCCATGCTTTCTAACTTGTTATTAAATTTATATATATAATATGAATAAATTAATAAAAGTAAATCGTTTAAAAATGTAATATAAAACATTTCTTACCAAAAGAGCTAAATAGTGTTGGAGATTTTTGTAGGGGATTTTTTGTTCCTTTTAAAATATAACATTGTAAACAATTTTAGTAAATTTGAACTATTTTAAAAAATTTTGCTTGCTTCCTAGCAACCTTTTTGGTAGATTTATCAAATTTCTTAAAAACGCCATACTAAATTCCAAAAATAATTTAGTTTTCAAAATTTTATTTTGATTTTGAAAACGTTTTAAAAATAGTAACCAAATAAATAAACATGGATGAAATTAATGTTTATGATCTTAAATTTTTAAAAATAAAAAAGTAAAAATAAAGGCATAACCATTTCCTTTTTGGTTTTCTGGTTTTTATAAATTGTATTTGATTTTTACCATTTATTTAATATTTCTTTCCCTTTCCTTAAAACATATTTGAATTTTTAGTTCAAAAATTGAATTTTTTAGTTTTCAAAATTTAACTTAGATTTTGAAAACGTCTTTAAAAGGTAGATAAATAATCAAAGAAATTTATAGATGGAAGTAGTGTTAAGGATTCCGCATTGAAAAGAAAATGGACCTTGTTTATCATATACGTGGACTACTCATTTCATTATCAATTGGTTTTGAGATGGAACCCAAAAAAATAGGATCCGACCAAAGCCAAATGAACCATGATCTTGAAAATCAGATAACTTTTTTACTTTTTTTTAATTAAAAATTTAATAATAGTTAGTAAAAGATCATATTGTTCAACGATAAATACCAAAGGATTTTGAGTTTTTGCTCCAAACTTGTGGAAGAGGAGTGTGAGATATTTCGTGGGAGGCAGCTTTTGCAGTCGTTTTCATTGCAACTATTCTCTCCTTGGTTTTCTAACTTTTTGGTGGTCCTACGAAATTGTAAAATGTTCACAATATTTATTACGTATTGTTTTAACACTAGTAAGAAACACGTGCGTTGCACGTAGAATTTTGTAGTTCTAAATTAAAGTAAAACAAATAGTACTTTTTAAGTTTATAATATTATCATTTTAAAGAAAGAAAGTGATTATATATAAATATAAATTCAAGGTATGATATTGTTGTAATAAAAGAAGATGATGAAATATTAGCATGGAAAGTAAGTACAAGTTTGAAGTGTAAGAAAGATGAAAAAGCACCAACGTGCAAGTTTTTTTTAATGAATGAACGTTCTTAATTTACCTATAATTTTCTTGATTATAAATTATTATATTACATTTTATCTTTGTTAAATTGTGTGACGTTAAATCATTGAGTTTGTTCATTCTAGAATGAAAAAGAAAGGTAAGAGTGGGAGAAAGAGTAAACTCTAAAAGGTCCAATCTGATGATATTGAGAGGGATAAAAATTGTTTGTTTGCCCTAACTTTGTAAAAATAATTACAACATTTCACATATATAAATCAAAAGCATCCATTCAAAAAATAAGCATCAATCGAATTTTGCTTTATCTCAATTCCATCGACCACCATCTCGACACATCGTACTCTAGAATTTCTTTCAATCTGAACAATGATAAATTTGGGGAAAGTGAACCGATGCCATCAACTCAGTTTTAATTTGGTTTCTCTTCACTATCAATTCTCCTCTCGATCACCCATATGTGCATTGTTGTTGTCGTTACTAAAGTAAGAGAGTAATCTTCATACATTCACACCACTTGGAAAATTTTCCACTTTGTTCTATCCACCACCTCTTGATTTTTGGTTGGCATGAGAAAGAGAGGACACATATTTATATATGGATTGGAAGGGGATTAGGAAGATGAAAGGATTAGGAGAGGATATGTGGTAGATGAAAGGAGTTAAAAAAAATCAATGAGAAAGATAAAGTTAATGAAAGAATAATTGAGAGGGAGAAGATTAGTATGAGAAAATAGGGGAATTTAGAGGGGTGGGATCCTGGCGGAGAGAAGAGATAAATTGAGAGAGAGAAAGTTTGTATTTAAATGACACAATTTCCATCAAAAGAAAAGTGAAAAGAGTTATAATGAGAGGACAAAAATGGTATATAGAGTTAATTATATAGAAGAAAGAGAGGAGAGAAAAACACTTCAAATTTTAGGAGTAAAAAATAAATTAAATAGCTGATAAAACTTTTCATATTCTAAACATTTTAAATACAAGATTAAGTGAAATTAGAATTTTAAAAGAAAAAAAAAAGATAAATGGTTATTTGGGTAGGTTAATTTGAGTAATGCATTTGGATGGTGGAGAAAAAAAGAATGGAGAGTAAATGTGAAAGAAATATAATGAGAGAATTAAGATAAATGAATGTAAGAAAAGGAATTTGTAAAGGTGGAGATAAAATATTTTCAAAGGAAAAAAAAAAGAGATAAATGGGAGAAGTGGGTGTGGGAATGAGAGAGAGGAAGAAAGTAGGAGAGTTAAATACAAATTTGCATCAAACTTTTATAAAAATGAATTATGAAAGAAGGGTAAAATTGACCTAAAACGTTTCTCCGCATCCCACATTTTATATATACTATAGATATAGATAGGTGAGTGTCTCGATATTTGCATGCAGTATAACTAATTTCATGGATAACTGTCGTCCTAAGTAGTTAACCCCCATGATTTAAATTCATTGTCTCTAAACTCTTTACTATTTATATTGGCCTAGGAAAATTTCTAGCCCTCCTATAATATGGAAAAAGTTCTAGTCCTGGAAACTTCCATATTACCTCAGCTTAAAATATGTCATGTGTAAAGTACCTTTATTATTGAAAGGACATGATCGTTCATTTAGGGAAAAAAAAAGAAAAAAAAAGGAGAAATTTGGAATGGTTGGAGTTGGTTTTGTAAGGACATCTTGACCTTTTAACTCCAAGAAAAAAAAAGAATCAGATTTTGGGGGCAAATTTTTGAAGAGGCATGTGTTGGCAAGATAAAGAAAAGAAA